TGTCTTTAAGATGCCTGTCGGAGTAGGGGACTGGGAGGTGGGATGTCAAGTCCAGAGGAGCCGTCTTGGGTCTCAGAGAGAATGTCCTCTAGAAGTGTGATGCCCTCAAGCACACTGTTCACTCAAAGGTCACCCCAGCACCCACCTCAGTGACTGCTTCCTGTGCTCCGAATGCCGAGATCACACCCATCCTCCCAGAGCCAGTCCCTCACCATGCCAGTTTCACAGTGTTGACACAAGTCACCCTCTAAGTGTCCCTCTTGCAGTGTCCCTTGGGGTCCAGGCCCAGACCTCTCCTGCTTTGCACAGAGATGGAGAACTGAGCCTAGCTCCTCACAGCCAGTGAAACCCAAGCCCAGCCTTCCCCATGAGACCAACCCAGCCCAGCACAGCACCAGTTCCCTCTTTCCCACAGGACTTGGACAGGAGCATTCCCAGTGTAGCAGGGGACTGCCTTTTTGTAGCCCTCTGGCGATGCCAGTCTGAGAACACAGCCAGTGCGGCCCTGGATATAGTCAAGAAATAGAGAGGAAGAGCATTCTTGAGAGTCCTGGATCAAGCCGTACCTGAACCTTCACGGATTTAATAAATCTCCCCTCATCTTAAGACAGGGTGAATGCATTGTCCTGTCACTTTGCCCAGTCAAAATGTCTTCACTGATAAACTTAAATTTCTGTTTAACACCCTTGTAAAACTAACTAGGCTTTTAAAACAAAGTCAAGGCTGCCAGGATTAACATGGACTCAGAGCAGAAAGGCTGGATAACATTTTAAGATCATCTCCTTGGGTTTTAGGACACCACCTGCTTTCTAGCTGTGTGACCTCGGACAAGTCTCTAAACCTCTCTGAGATGCTTATCTTCAGGTTTCTGAGATCAATGTCAAGATGCAGTAAGGTGATTGCCTAAAGCACCAGGCACACAGTAGGAGCTAAATGAATGTACCCCAACAATGTGGCTCACCTAACAGAGCTTGCAGAACAGAAGGATGTGTCAGTCACCAGGACCTCCCTCCCAGTCTATTGCTTTCATCCAAGAAAGAAAAGAAACAGTACTTCGAAGTCAAGGGGACCTGGATTTAAATCATACTTCTGTTCTGTGACATTAAGCAAATTGGTCAACCTCTCTGAGCCTTTTTCTTCTATCAGTTAAGTGGGAAAGGCATTGCCTACCTCTTAGGGAGACACAAGGATGTCTCCAGCACAGCGTTTTGCAGGTCACGAGACTACTTACCAGCCTTCTTAAGGATCTTCCTGATCTTCCTCAAAATTGAGCTGGAGCCCAGCCCCCCTGGCTCAGCCTCACCCATGACTCCATGTCTCCAACTTCCAGTCCACCCTGATGACATCGAAGCTGTGTGTCCAGCCCTGACCTCCCGCCGTATGTCCTGAGAGCCTTCCAGGTGTTCTACGTCAGCACAAAGTCCTGGCTGCCATGTCCTCATGGTCAGGATTGGGTCTGCCACCCTGACCTCCATCTCTTGTGAGATGTGTCTGAACACGATTGAAGTTACAATCAAGAGCCTGGAATTCTCAGCCCTGATGTCTCCGCCCTGGGTCTGGAGCCATCTCCTTTTGAACGTAGAACCATCTTAGACAGTGCCGCCTTGCTCTGTGAACCAGGCTTGGAAAGCCCACTTCCAGAGATTAACTCATGAGGCTCTTGCCTGACCCTTGCCTTAATACAAGGATCCAGAGTGTGAATGGACTGTCGGGGGAGGGGCAGACTGCAGAGGAGGTGCCAGGCTAGAGGGGGGACTTCAAAGGGCATCTTACACAGGGCCTCTCTGTTTCACTCCTCAGTGGTTCTCAGCCTCCCTGGGGTGAGCCAGGCTGCTCCACCAAGCTCTGCCTGCTCCAGGTCCAAAACAATGGAGCAATGGACGAACTGGGACCAATGGCTCTGAAACCAGGAGCTGAGATAAATCCTCATCTTATAGACGGCTTTCTCTGGCACCTCAGGGGCAGAAGGTGAACACACCAGCGTGTGTGCCCTGGTGCACTAGAGATGGGTTTGTTCTTGTTTTTTTTCTCACTGCCTATTCAGGCTCACGCTAGGCTTCACCACGTGGCTCACCCTCCACTCTTTCATCCCAGGAGTTGCGATGGCGAAGGAGGAGTGGTGCTTCCTTGCCACGTATCTTCTGTGGAACACCGGAACTCTGAGGCCACTGCCAAGAATGGGACTCCGTGGCTGACCATACCAGCGTCTGGAGGTTCACTTCAGAGTAAGGGGAAGGAGACAAGTATTTTGCAGTGTTCCTATTAGACACTCAGTAAATTCTTGTTGCACTCAACCACTCAGTCACGTGTCTCCAAACTTAGGCCTTGGACAGCATCTAGATCAGAGACCCTTTGAAAACCAGGAAGGTGGTGGACTTTTCTACCCCAAGCTGCCCTTGCCAGGGACACTGGACATACATTGTCAGGGCTTTCTAGCTTTCCTCAAGCTCAAGCATAGCTATGCTTCTCATATGGGAAACTGAGGCACAGAGGAAGAAGTTTGTCCAAAGGTGGGCAATGTATAACCTTCTGCCAGACACTGGCCCACTACATGGAAGTACCAGCTCTGGTTCCGGCTACAGGGCCAAAGCCGTGAGCTATAGGCCCTTAGCACCCCACATTGCTACCACCGCTATCAATGCTTGAGGGTGTAGTGAGAATATGGTACGTGCAAGCAAGCTCCGTTTCCTTTCTCTACCTCTTCCTTTGCTTGCACACCTTGGAACAAAGCGTATCTACCACCCGAGGTGATCACGGAAGACTTCATGCAAGAGGTGTGCCCTGTTTGGGCCTCGGTGCTGGGTGCTGCAGGGAGGTAGGGGCCAAGGATTATTAATAGGCCTGGCTCAATAGGGCTGGATGGGGGTGAATGTGATACAGACACCCAGCACCGTGCCTGGGGAGGACCTGACACCGGAAGAGGAGGGGGCCAGGGGCCGGGGGAGCGCCACCTCCCAAAATAGACAGGACTGAAGACTATTTAAGTGGCTGTCCTACCCCTAGTCTCATTTCCCAACAGGATCCCCCACCAGCCCAGTTTTTCTGTTCAGGCTCCAGCCTCTGCCCATCCCAGGTAAGTGATAGCCCCTGAGAACAGAGGATGGAGAAAGGTGAATCGGGCTAACTAGAAGGGATGGCCGTGCTACCATTTCTCTAGATTCAAAGGGGAGGTTTGCCGAGTTTGGGACTCCTGGATTCTCTACCTACCTCTTAGGTAGCCTGGGCAAATCCTTCTCCCAAGGCTAGACCTCAGCTCTCCATCTCCTGCCCTGAGAGGTAGAGCCATACCTCTGTGTACTCTAGGGGCTCCATTGAAAGGGTCAAAGGGCCGAGGGGTGGGAGGTAAACCCATGGATGGGAAGTTGATTGGCTGAGCTGACAACACCCACGCTTCACTGACGAGGTCTCCGGCCCAGAGAGGGCGGTCCAGATACTGAGGACTCTGCAACAGCAGAGGAAAGAGAAGGTGGAAATGGTGTGAGAGTTTACCATAGCATTCAGCCTGGGGCTCAGATGCGCTGATTTGGTAGGGCTGAGACTAGGGCTTGAGGAAGGATATCTAAGAAGTTGATAGCACACCCAGTCAATGGAACAGAGCTAACTCTGCTCTGCCACTGCCTTGATAGGGGTCTTTAGACACTTAGAAACTCCGGGCTCAGTATAGCCCACGGATTCCTCCAGCTGGGGAAACAGATGTGGTAACTAGGCCACAGGGTAAGCGAGCCTGGATGCTGAAATGACAACACAAGAGCCTGGCACATCGGAACAAGATGCAGAGGCTGAGGCCACGGAGCCAACTGACTCAGGAGCCATCGGAGCTAAGGCAGCTCAAGGGTCCGGGACAGCTGAGGGGTCTAGGGCAGGCCTCGTGCCCAGAGCTATGAAGTCAGGGGCTGAAGCCTAAGTCCCCTGAAAGTCAGCTGGCCAGCTCTGGCCCCAGGATGCTGACTCACCAGGAGGGGGCAGCTGGAGCCAGCTACTCCTAAGGTTTCCAGGAAGGGCAGCCTTCCAGGGCTCAGCCACGGGAGACAGTGTTGACAGCGAGTGGCAGGCAACTTGAGCTACTGGGCAGCTGGGCAGCTGTCCCTTGATCCCCAATATCATCACCATCCCAGACAAGGTCCACTGCCTCAGGACCCACCCAGGGGTCCATCCACCCCCAACACGACCCGTGTAGACCAAAGCCCAAAGATAAAAGTCATAACTCAAAGTCGTGAAGGCATTCAGTGTAGCTCACAACTAGAACCCAGACCTCCGGACTCCCAGGCCAGTTCTCATATACTTCAAAGGCTTCTAGTCACAGCCTGAATCTTTTGGAGACCTGAGGGGAGATGGTGTTGAGGTGTGGTCTCATGAGATGGAGTGTCCTGGTTCCCAGATAGGATGTTCTGATCGCAAAACCCGGGTAGTCTAGAAATTGTGGTGTGATGGTGCCACTCCTTACACCAAATGTTTGGCCAACTAGAAAGGTGGATAGTTACTCCATGGAGCTTCCCCCAGCTTAGACTCCTTAGGAAGGTTTTCAGGAATTAGAGGGAGGACGGCACAGGTGTGGTGGCTCTGGAGACCAGGAAGTCTGAGAAAGGGGTCTTCTGACAGTTAAGCTGGCACCTTCCCCTCCGAAACCAAATCAAGTTTCAGAACGTGCTGCCCTGGTCAGGTGAGGGACTGAGTGCAGCCGGAGCCTCTGCACAGAGGTCTGTCCGGTCCAGGCTACCTCCTTCCCGGGTCCCGAGGCTCAGGTTTCAAGACCTCAGCATTTAGATTTTTCCCGGCATAAATTTGCATCCAGGACAGAGGAGAGGAGACTACAGGAGGCATGGGGAGAGAATGAGTACCAGGCCAGGAGGGCCCCTGGAGTGAAGGCTGGATAGCATCATTTCCCCCCGCGGATGGACATTATCTGAGATGCCCAGATTGGAACCTCTCTCCTCCCGTATGCCCTAGATGGCAGAATAATTGTCCAGTCCTTGCTGGTGGCCCCTGAGATCAAGAAGTGGCCCCTGGTGGAAGGGTCCTGATCCAAGCCCCTGGGATGCCGAGGACCCCTCGGGCGTGCAACCCGCTCGGTTTAGCAGCACGGCGGGACTGAGCTTCCGAGCTGCGCGCAGAGCCGGGCGCCCCCTGGCGCGGAGCCAGGCCAGGCGGGCGTGCGACTGGCGTGCGACACTGCAGCGCTGGTCATATGAGCAGAAAGGATGAGAAGAACACTTTTTAATCTTTTCGCACTTGCTCTGCCCGCTCAAACAGTTGCAGGATGTCGATGACAGACTTGCTCAGCGCTGAGGACATCAAGAAGGCGATAGGAGCGTTTGCTGGTGAGCAGTGCACACCCCTACCTGTCCCCGTCCCCTTGCCCTCTTCCCGCGCCTGGGGCACCCGCATCCCTCTGCAAAGCCTCCCCAGTTTCTCCCGCCCACACATCGGTCCCCATCCTCGGGGTTGGTTCCCTGGTCCTCTACCCTCCAAGAGTTGCACTGGCTGTGCGCCCTGCCTGAGCGCCCTGCCTGAGCCACACAAGTTGTGGGCTCAGGAGGATGGCCTCTCTGGGAGGACTCCGGGGTCCAGGACTAAGCATGAAGACCAGGGTGGGAAGGAAGCTCTGGGATTCTGGGGCAGGACCCAGACTTCTCCTCTGAGAAGTGTAGAGGGGCTGCAAACCAAGACTTTTTTCTCCAAGAGACCCCTTTCCTCCACCCCTATTCCCAACAAGATTTTTTTCCTGGAAGATAGCCCACTGGTGGAGATCCCCTTCCAGGACAGACCCGAGGGCACGGTGACCTTTCTGTAGCAGGCACCCAGCCCTGCCCAGCTGGGCACAGCGCCCCTTAGTGCCTCCAGCTTCCGATCCTTTCAGGTAGTCCAGGAGAGGGGTCCACTCAGCTGTGTGACCTCTTTACTCTGAAAAGACTCTAGCTTAGACGCTGTTCCTCTTGCCCATGTAGGTAAACTGAGGCTGGGACAGAATGAAAGATGTAGAAGGTCACCCAGTCCAGCACAAGAAGGATGAGAACTGGGGTGGCCTTAGATCTCAGTGCCCCCACCTTCATGTGTCAGAGATGGACAAAGCCATTTTCCTTCCCTCCTGCTCTGGGTTGAGGGGAGACCAAGGTTCTTAAGAGTCCCTGGGCTGAGGGAGGACATCCATCTGCTTTTTTTTTTTAATAGTCCTTTTCCTCCAGGCACACACAGGAAGCGCCAGGAAGCCCCCTTCCCCTCCCAGAGCACTGTGATACCTCATTCACTGTGCCTTGAGCCACTTTGTCACCTTGAGAATGAAACTTAACTTTCATCCCAGCCCCAGTCACTGAGATGTGTCTCTGAGTCTGGGCAGGACTTCTGGGTCCTCCCCTCCCCTCTCCCTCCCACAATGTGACCTTGACAGAAATGTGTTGATTTTCCTGACACCAGTATATGGCCAAGAGAGAAAGCTGTTCTTCTGCCCACCCTAGCATCCATTGCATGCCCAGGTGCAGCTCACCTAGCCACCACACAAAACGGGCTTCATAGAAATACGACTCTCTGGAGGCCGACAGTCTCCGTGTGGCTCCTCAGTATATGTGTGGGGGAGCCAAGAAGGTATGACCTTGGGCGTAGCATCCTTTCCTAGCTGGGCTCCCTCTGCCCCCCCTGGTCCCCACAACTATGCAGGTGTCCTTTAACAAATGCTAGAACACCCCCTTCCCTGATTTTCCCCATACCCTCCCCCAACCTTCTTTAACCTCCTCCTCCCCCCAACAGCTGCAGACTCCTTCGACCACAAAAGGTTCTTCCAGATGGTGGGTCTGAAGAAAAAGAGCCCGGATGATGTGAAGAAGGTGTTCCACATTCTGGACAAAGACAAAAGTGGCTTTATCGAGGAGGATGAGCTGGGGTAAACTGAGGCCTGGGGGGAGGGACTTGGTGTTAACTCCCCAAGTCACCATTTTTCTCTGTGTGTCTCATAGGAACAGGCTTTTCTTTGTCCCTCTAGGGCAATGTCCCAGGCACCAGGGAAAGATACCTCCTGCTTCCAGAAGGGTCAAACCATCAGCTCAGAAAGCAGCTAACTAGGTTAAATTATAGCCACTTAATATCGCTAATGGAATGGAGTTACTTAATAATTTAATACCAATGAAGAGGCACTTATTCTGGCTGCCTCCCGCCACAGGCAAGGCAGGAAGCATTCTCCTTAGAGTGTCATTGATTTCCACATGTCTGAAAGGCACCTTCCCTGATCTGGTCTGCAGACCCCATACCTCTGGACCAGAACTGCAGCTAAGCAACTTCTGGGCAACCCAGGAAGGCAGAGCCAGCTCTGGAACTCCAAGGTCCTTGGAGCTAAGCGCAGAGGAGAAGGCAAAGCCACATTAGCATAGAGCCCTCTGCTCCAGCCCGCCTCAGCCACCTGGTCCGTATCTGATGACCCAGCTGTGCCTTCTGTTACTTTCCTGCCAAGACTGCCTTGAATTTTGTTAGAAACAGGAGGAGGAAGGTGTTGAGAGATGCATTTTAAGTAGGAACTTCTTCGACCCGTCCTATCTCTCCTTCAAACTTTACCCCAAGGGCACCTTCTTCTAGAACCTTCTCCCACCTGACAAGTACATGCATATTCACGCACAGGTGCATGCTAAGTGCTCCCCCTACCCTCCAGGTACCACCATCTCTAGAGAGCCTCCTAACTCCTCCCTCACCTGGGTAGGAGGAATATGCTCCCCTCTGCCTCCTCTCTCGGGGTGTTCATCAGTCCATCACACATGAGGTCTGTCTGTGAGGACTTGTTCTCTTCCTCATTTATGCAAGAGGCTTATTACAATCACTATGGTGACTCTAGCTTTTATACATTTATTGAATAAGCAAAGGCAAGCGTCCCCTAAACTGGTGACAACCCTGTACAGAGACCAGTCATCCACCCTGCACTGACCCACCAAGGGTCAGACCAGGTCACGTGGCCAGCCTCGCTGCATGTGTCCAGCACCACCCTCTGCCTATCCCAGCTTCCCCTGTCCTGCGCAGATGCCAGCCCACCATCCTGCAAGGTTCTGCAAGGTGACCTTGGCCTGAGTCCCTCCTGTTTCCCCCCTTTTCTCCTCCAGGTTCATTCTGAAGGGCTTCTCCTCAGATGCCAGAGACCTGTCTGCTAAAGAAACAAAGACACTGCTGGCCGCTGGGGACAAGGATGGGGACGGCAAGATTGGAGTTGAAGGTGGGTACCTGTGACCATGACTCTGGGAACCCTGGATGCTGGGCTGTGTGACTGCTAAAGTTTTGGTCTGTTGAAGGGAAGGAGAGATGAGAAAAAAAGAAAATCCATAGGCCAGAGAGCTCCACTACACTACCAAGCAGAGAAACCCGGCTTGCTAGCTTTCTCCCACCCCCTCTCCCTATATAAGTATATGTATACATTGAAATTTGAGCAGCCCATGAGAAATGGCTTTTCCCCCTTTCCTGCTGTGTGAGGGAATGTAGGAGGGAGAATTGGAGATATTCCCTGCTTTTTTTTTTGCCTAGGTTCTGATTCAGGATCTGCCTACACTGGCTGTGTGACCTTGGTCAGTGTCCCTCTGAACCCCAGGCTCATGTCTGTAACCAGAGGAGACAGGCCCACTGATCCCCTAAGGACCCTCAGGCTCTTGTAGTATCCGATTCCAAGGATGGAAATTCCTTATCTACTGCCCTCCTCAGCATCTCATCCTGGTGTCCTGTAACCTCAGATAGGTTTTTGGCTTCATTCAAACACACCATCCCATCCTTGTAGGGGAGCCAGGAAAGAACAGCCACCCAGACTCATCTGGGAGTTAGGATGCTCCAGAAGCTTCAGTAGCTTCGCTTAGAGCCCAGGCACAGGCCTGGTGGCCCACTACCCCACATTCTTATTCTGTCAACCTGCCTGGCATCTATGGTGCACATCCCAGAACTGTCAGTTCTCTTACGAAACTCTGCAGATGGCAAAAGGGATGATCACAGTCTCAGCCTGGTTCAGAAAGCTTGGATGCAGGGTGTGACAGGGATCTCGGATCAAGTCTGACTGTCTGAGCAACATAGTCTGCCAGCATTAGCCTGTATGGTAGCCTTTTCGATGACATAAAAGAAAACTGTATTTAGGTGCCTCTGGGATTCAGATCCCAACATTTCTAGGAGGATCACACGACTGTGGCAGGACTTGGGGTGTTCATCTCCAGTGGAGTGATGGTTCTCTCATGGGGAACCCCTGAGGATGTGATGTGCTCATGTGTAAAGTGCTTAGAACAGGACCAGGCATGGAGCACAGACCAGGAGCCTTTTGTGGGCCTGTTAGTTAAAGAAAAGGAAAACAGGGGCCAGATTGAATCTGCACTTTAAGTCCCCAGCGTCTGTTCGAGAAGTGAAGGACGTACTTGGTAAATATCTGCTGCCCGAGGGGAAAGCCCAGACTCCTACACTCCACTTCCCTGCTGCTCCTCACCTCCTGTGACCTTGGGCGCATCCCCTTCCAATACCTGGGTTCTCTTGCCTGGCACATGAGGTGCACAAGCTTATCCTGGGACCTGTAAGTGGTGTGGACACAAACTGCTCTGAGAGAAGTATAAAATTCTGTAAATACATGGGAAATATTAAGGAATGTTTAGTGAAAGCAAAAACAAAGAAACTCTACTGAGTTAGAGTGCAGGGGGCGCCCTGGCCATTGGACCCTGCTGTTCTTTGGGGCTGAGCAGAGAGTGGGGAAGAGATGCCTAGTGGCTTGTCCTCTCTTTAGCGATTCTGGCAAGAGCGGCTTTCCCACCCCTTCCCATCAGCTCCACCCCAAGCCCTAGCTTCTTCTGCAACCCAACTTGCCCTCCATTTTTGAAATGCATTTTGAGCCAGAGGCAGGGTCTTCAAGATGATTGCTCCCAGCCAACCTAAATGAGGAAGAAAACCAGGGCAGCCCTTGACCTGGTTCCCTCCTCCCACCCCTGCTGTCTGCCATACTTGGTCTTAAAGGGCCAATTAAACTCTTCCAGAAGACCCAGAGGCAGCTCCCAAGGAGCAATGTGATGCCTAGCATTGGGTAAAATAAAGATAATTAGGACAATGGTATAACACCGTGTCCTGGTGAGGAGCCCTTGAGCAGCAACCCTGTAATCCCAAGCCACAGCTTCATGGATAGAACACTCACGAAAACATGGGTATTGAAGACATTTAATAAGTACCCAATGAATGGCAGCCATGAACTGTCCATGTTAGCTATATTCTGTCTGAGTATGGCTTTGTCAAATGGTCATGCAAGCTGAGGTTGTCTTCATTGAAAAGCTTGGGACCCGAGGTGTGCTGATTTCCAGGCAAGTTTGGATTTTGGAGTATTCAGATAGTGTGGCCATGACCCTGGAAGGGTTTCAGATTTCCAGATTCTGGGTTAGGGACACTGGTCTGTGCCAGGCAGAGTGGAGGTGCTGGGAGCTGAGGCTTGGAGGCCAAGAAGCTGGAAGGCTACAGGTCGGGACTCAGCAAGCAGGAGCAGGTCCAGGCATGGTGCTGGCATCAGCAACGGCACCGAGGCTGGAATGGTTAGGGCAGGTTTAGAAATTAGCCCAGAGGCAAGTTCGCCAGGAGTGAACAAGAGCTGCTCTCTAGGTGTGTAGTGCGTCTCGGGCTGGAGCTGGGCACTGTGGTTTTCCCGGGGTGACAAAGGAAATCCATGCAGAAAAGACAGCTTAGGGAGGCCAAAGTCACACTATGCTCAGGATTCAGGCTTAAATGCCAGTCTATCTAACAGTATGGGGACGGTCTGGACCAGGCTGTGCAGCCTGAGTAGCACTCCAGGGTTCTGGAGGAACTTGACAGCAGGGACAGAAGATGGGACTAAGGTGGCATTGGGTGCCCTACCCTGTGCTTCCCCAGGGAAGATGCAGGTGCCCCTTCCTCTTGTATAAGCCAACTCGAGAAGTAGAATTACCAGTGCCGAACAAGAAGGGCATGGGAGGTAAAACTTTCTCTGAGGTCCAGAATGTCCTGTGGCCAGAGAGTCTTGAGCCCCACCTATCAGCCTGAGGTTGCTTCAATTTCTGTAGGACCCAGGAAAGTCACAGTGTCCCCCTGGCCTAAGGACCGAGGCTAGAACACCATCCTGCCCCTGGGGGTCCTTCTGCTGCACAAGACAATGAATCAGGACTTAGGTTCAGCTGTACCCGTGAACCTCCATAGCAGTCGCTTTTAACTTGGCACAGCCCTTCCTATGTGCCAGGCACTGCCTCCAACACTGTCCTCTGCCATCTTCTTATCTATCTGTGAGCGGGGGTTCTATTGTATGCCAACTTCAGAGCCAGGGCTAGTGAGGCTCGAAGGCAAGGGTTTGTTTAACCCTTTGTGCCCAAGAAGAGAGAGATGGTTGAGATGCGTGTTGAGCTCTGTTTGTTTGCAGCATATGGGTTGTGCTGCTTGCTCCATGCCTGGAATGCTGTTGAAGTTTAGCAAACACCCAGCATAAGGTGGTATTAGATGCTGACTTTGTGGCTTGCTTCTCTCCAACACTCTTGGGTGTCCCTGATGCAGGGACTTTGGCTTCTTCTGTTCTCACCAGGATAGGTCCTGGTGCACAGTGGGAGAACAAGAAAAATTTGTCTAGTGAATGAATAAGAGAAGGAAGAAAGGGATGAATGAGAGGATAAATGCGTGGAGGAATGAACAAACAAATCAGTCAGTGAGGGAATGAGGGAACAGATGACTGTGTCCTGCAAGACTGCAGGAGGGAGCAAGCCTAACTCGAGCACGTAGAGAGACTCTGCATGCGTACAGGCTTGGGGCTTGGAGCCACATGTACACCAGGAATGCAGAGCCAGTAATGACCTCTGTCCCAAGCTCTTCTTGCCTCTCTGAGCAGGAGGATGCTTATGTGGTTCTTTAAGTGCCCGGTTGCAGAAAAGGAGAAGGAAGACACAGTTATAGCATCGCTCCTTCAGACTCTAGTATCTGGGGCAACAACTTCCAGGAAGTTTAAAGACATTTATAGATGTGATCAATGGCAAACAGCCACTGTAAAAGGCTGGGACCCTGCAGGGAAGAAGGGAAGCAGAAACGGAGAGAGAGGCAGTAAAGAGGGGGGAAGGGCCCCACTATGAAGGCCAGACACAGCCTCACCTGCCGCAGGGGCTCCTCCACTTCCCAGGCATGGATCTGAGGCTGGTCCCTTCAGCCCTCTCCCAGAGATGTTTGCAGCCTGAGTGAGACCCAAGTACCCCAGATCTAACAAGCTGTGTAGTGATGTTGGTGGTCCAGGGAATCACAAAGAACTAGGGATTTTCAGTAATTCCAGGAGGAAAGGGCGGTGACTCCCCTCTTTCACAAGGCCTGAAGCATAAGAGATGACATAGTGCAGGTCCCTCACGAGGGCTGGGCAGGACCGTGTGCTGCCTTCCTCACTACAGCGAGTGCCCCTAGCCTGGCTTTCCACACTTAATGCACAAGGAACACAGGGAAGACAGACTGAGGTCAGCAGCCACCCTACCTCCTGTGTGCCAGGGCCCTCCAGCCAGGCCTCCCGATCCAACTCACTCAGCCCTCACTTAGCTTCACAGAACAGCATCGCTTTGTTCTCTACACAGACAAGGAACCCTAGCCTTGGATGCAGAGAAGCTTGCTCGGCTGTGAGGACAAGCATACTTCTCTTGCCCACCAAGACTTAGAATGATCTAAGCTTGTATGTGTGTGTGCTCAGTTGGGCATCCTTAGATGTATGTGTGTGCACTCAGTTGGGCATCCTCCCCCTGTGACCCGGACCCAGTGATGGCTCTGCTTACCTGCGCTTTGTGCCAGTTGCACCTCAAGCACCTGTGTTCTATATTTTTTTCTTTCGGTTGAAAATGTAGCTGTTATCATTGTAGAAAAGGAGCCTTTTTACTTCCTTCTGGCAAAATCCTTAGCAGCCTACTTGGGAGTGGAGGGAGGTGATGATAGCCAGGTGTCATGGGCAGCAAGAATGAGAACCTTCCTGTGCATAGACACCAACTCTGAGAACGTCCTGGCTGTCCCACCTTCTGGACAACCGTTCCCTCATCCATGAAGTCTGGGTAAAATACACAGCCCTTAGCCTTCTTGCTTTGGTTTTACGCCACTCTGCTCCTCCCTTTAGAAGGAATCAAATGCTAATCCACACAGAAATGGGATTGGGTATGAGACCGGAGGGCAGGGAGAACAGGAGACCCCTACCTCACTGTGGTTTTCTCATCTGTCGGTCCCTGTAGGACTTCATAGGGGGTGCCTATGAGGGTCAGCCCACAGACCTTAGGTGAATAGCGTCTGCTTATAATCCCACTGCAACCCCCCAGCAGATCCAGGATGTCTAGGAGACAGGGTCACATCCTCACTGAGAGGTGTGGAAGTGGAGGCACAGTGAACGTTGAGGGCCAGAGTCACAGGGCGTGCATGCCCTTGGTGGGATGTGACCTGGGTCTCTTCTCCACAGCTTCCTCTCCGAATCTGAGCTGGGCCTTCGGAGTTATAAATGTTTCCATGCTTAGCAATCTGCTCCTCTATTCCCAGGTGGACTTCCGCTAGCTCTGGCCTTATGCTGCGCTAGATAAGATGGAGCAAGGAGAGGATGCAGCGCTACTTATGTAACCGGCCTCTTAAAAAATGGAGCAGCGGTCAGGGTGGAACAAGATGTCCTCTCTCCGCTTATCCCTCTCCTTCCGCTGCTGAGGCTGCAGCTGGAGTCAGAGCGGGGCTCTTCCAAACAGTCTTTGAGCAGGGACACAGCCAGGCCCCAGCCAGGCTTCAGCTAGCATCCTCACAGCTGGGACCCAGCCACGTTTCAGTCAGCATCCTCACCACTGGAACCCAGCCTCAGTTTCCCCATAAATAACATGAGGATCAGAGCCAGTGAGGACGAAACAGGATAAGGTAGTTGGCAGTGTTTGGCAAAGAGCGAGTCCTCAGGACTGTTGATGCCATCTCCTTATGGCTGCCTGACTTGACCCCGAGTGACCCTGCCTCCTCGTTCTGCAGCAGGAGAAAGTGATCCTGTTTGCGGCACCTATCTATAAGAAACTGAGCCCTGGAGCTATTTCGAGGCAGGGTGAGGTGATGAACCAGGAGCCGGCCCTTGCTATGGTCATCAGAAGAGAGGGAAGGCAGGTCTTCCAGACGCTGACTCCATGAGTCTCAATTTCACTCGGGGCTGTCAGCCTCTGCTGGGCTCACCTGTCAAGAGCTTCTAAATTTGTCCGATCCCCACAGCACCCAGGACGAGGGCGGCCCTAGTTAGGCTAATTTCAGTTTCCTAAGGGAAAGAGCAGAACGGGCCCGGGCCGGGCCGGCCCTCTGCCTGCTGCCTCCCTCTGGCCACATTCCCTTGTGTCTCCCTCTCTTTCTGATTGGACAAGGAAGACATCAGAAATTGTCCTCAGAGGGGTTGGGGATGGACTTCAGACCACAGAGGAGTGCTGTTCTGCCTATCTTACAAGAGATTTTCCTAAGGGAACACTGTACCTCATCAGTGACTGATTTAGTTGTGCCCATTCTATGTGCCAGGAGCCTCTCACCTGCATCTCATGCAGTCTTTCTTGTGACCTTAGAAGTGTCCCCATTTTTACAGAGGAGGAGGTCGAGGTGGGGTTCCAACTTGGATCATGTCAGGAGTTCGCACTGGGTTAGCTGTTGGCTGTTTGGATGTCGTGGATGCTCTGCTTCCATGGCGCTTGACCTTGGTTGGGGGATTGCTTGTAGGAGGTTACTCCCGCAGTTACTACTCCACAGCTCCTCTGCGGGGTGTGCTGCAGAGATCCAAGGGAGGTGGCGCTAGCTGTCAGCAACCTCCTCCTATGTGCTCCAAGCGCATCCTCATGCTCTTCCTCGGTTGCTCTTCAGGAAAGTTGTGAGCTGGTGCTACTCCACTTTGCAAAGCAGAACACTGAGGTTCAGAGAGGCAGCATAGTGGCTCACGGCCGCCTAGCCAGTAACAGTGGAGCAAGGCACAGGCCCTGATACGGGGTGGCTACAAGGTCACGGGCAGACGCCTTGGTGGAGACAGATGATGGAGACCAACACTAGCAATGGAATGACAGTGACAGATGAAGATGTCGGCCCCTTCGCTGTGCCAGGTAGCAATTAGGCTTTTGTGGTTTGGTTGGAGGGGCTGGAGGTATAGAAGCGGCTTGATGGCAGTAGCTGCCAAGAACTGAGAGCTTTCTCTGCAGCAGACCTGCGGAGGGGGGCTGTGGTATCAGACAGGCTCGACAACTCCAAGAAGCCGCTAGTCTCATAGGCTGCACTTTGGAGAGGTGGAAACTGAGGCAGGAGTGTCTAGTCAAGCTGACAAGGACAGGAACTATTGGTTCCCCGTCCCCCCGGCCCCTGCTTGCTCCAAATGCCAAGTTAGAACGTTTTCCTGAAGGTTCTGAAAATGTCCCTGGAAAGGACATTTCTCAGCTGGGGCTGGAGGGGTGAGACATCTGGTCCAGGGAACTCAGAGAATGGCAGAGTACAGGTCCCTGCCCTGCCTTCCCACACCCGTGTTGCTTCTGAGACCCTACCACCAAATCTGTTGACCTAGACTTCCAAAGTCTGTGTGTTTGTCATTTGTCTTTCTTTGGGGTGAGAGGAGACGTTTTAGAGGCGACCTTTGCCAGGAAGCTGTTAGTTAATTGGTAGTTCCTAAGAATGCTGCCCCGAGGAAGGCACAAAAGTCCTGAAGAGGCACAGTGACCCTGCTTTATTTGTCTACAGTGCCCTGGTCAGGGTTCTGGGGGAGATAAAATTAGAATTCTGTGCTCCCTGCAAAAAGCCAGGCTCGGTGGCCTTGAGGACATCCTAGCTAATTCACAGAAGATCCTGGGGTCTGACATATTGGGCTTTTGGAAACCTCACAGGTTCAAAACATGCTGCCGGGCTCCCCAAAGCATAGATCCCCATCAACACCCCTGGTCTACTGTACCCCATCTTGCCTAGACTTCACCCAATCCAGTGTAGATCACATCTGGTCTCAGCTCGTGTGCAGGAAGTGAGAGGAATAGTCAGGAGCCCATAAACCCTAGCGTGATTATAAAAGCCAGCTTCCCTCTGGTTGCTCCATGTGAGCAATGCTGGGGGATTTTGTGTCCTTACAGGATCTGGGCCACTAGCCTGGTCAGTAGGGCTCACGCAGGAATTTTATGCGGCTAGAGGACAAATTACTTTCTATCTGACTGTGACTACTTCGGCCATTTTACTTCTGTAAAATGGGAATCACCTGTGTACCTCCCAGGGCTTGCTGAACCCTAAGGAGAACTCGTGAGCAGTATCACCCTTCACGCCTCATCCGTTCATTTGGTCTTCAATGATTCTCACCTGCAGGCTACTAGGCCAGACTGGTCACAGGGAAAGGGGTGAACCAGGGAGAGAGTGGGGGAGATAGACAAAAATAAACAAGATGATAAATAAGATCGTTTCCTAGCGCGCTAAGATCCTGAAGTCAATAAAAATGGGCTAACATGGCAGCAGCTGCGAGGGTATTTGAGCCAGGACATGGGTCACGCTCCACCTAGGTTAAAGGAGGTCACAATCTCCCCAGTAAAGGAGGAATCTGAGAGTGACTGTGGCAGGGATCCCATCTGCTGCTGTCACCATGTTAGAGCTAAACTCTAGGGCCTCAGTTTCCCCCGTTAGTAAAATGCAGGCAAGAATGTATCTATCCGTGGTAGTTCTAAGAATTCCGTGAGGCAATACTCCCTGGATTCTTCCCGTGTAGACATACGATGAATGCCTCACAGAGCCTCACAGATCCTCAGCGTGGACAGCACCGACATTAATAAGAATTCTAATAAGAAGATAAAGACAGCTCACAGAGCACCACCCTTCCCCCGGATCCTTCAGGCTCACAGGGTTCTTGGCTGAGAAGACAGGAGATTGACTCCTGGCCTAGGGGAAATTCTTTGAGTGTTCAATGTTTGTTTACTTGAGTTCCCATCCACGCCTCTCATCACTCAACCCAAGAGCCTTTGGAGGTTTCAGGAGCTTCACCTGCACAGACGCTCATCGTCTCTTGCCTTGAGTACCTATGCAGACTGCCACAACCAGGGACATTAGGGACAAGAGGGTGTGGTGTCTATTTCGCAGGTCAAACCTCAGAGAAGTGAGAAGCCCAGGGTTGGTCCCCTCACTGAGCAGGGACCAGGGCAACTGCGTGGGATCGCTGATGTTGTCATCAATTTAAACTTTAAAACACTGTTTATATTTGCAGTTGGTGACAGTAACAGAAAGAGTCCCTTTGCCCTTCTGCCAGCTTCCCTGGGGTTAACACTTGTGTAACCTCAGGGCAGGGAGACAGGTGAGGAGTGACAGACACAGATGTCCTGTACACAGACTGGACAGACAGAGAGGACTTCAGGGGACTCCCAGGCTCCTTTGGTGGCCTTTGGAAGCTGCTTCACACTGGTTCTTCATCCATTGCTTATTCCTCCTAGGAAACTGGCCTTGCCTCCCTCCATGGATGCAGAAGGGACAGACGTACCCTAGGACCTTTTCCAGGAAGGGCCTAAACCTCTCACTCTGTTCTCATATCACAACACTGCCTTTTCTAGGGGCGATAGGAATAGGCAGACCGGAATCCCAGGGGGCTCACAGAGACAAGGAATGGCAAATTTCACAACTATTCTGACTTCTTGTGTCGAACAACAGAGAAGAGCAAAGAAACCTCTGGGCTCAGAGCCTCCATTTCCTCCCCCACAGATTAGGCACCATGATAAACAATAGGTGGGAGTCGGAGCCAAAGAAGATACTGGGCGTGAAGTGTTGACAACAGCGGATGGCCAGCAGACACCGTCACAGGCAGTAACAGGGTTGTCTTTCTTTTGCAGAGTTCTCCTCCCTGGTGGCTGAAAGCTAAATGGCGCTGACTGCCCGGGTCTCCCACCCCTCCACCCCCAACGCCCCATCTCAGCCCTTCTTGCGGCCCTCCTGAGTTTCTGTTCGGTTTGTTTATGTTATTTTTTACTCCCCCCATCCTCTATGGCCCTTGAATGAACACCATTCTTCTGGAAAATGCTGGAGAAACAATAAAGGCTGTACCAATCGGACATCACCTATAGGGAGGACCCAGGCCTGGTAGGGTGTTGGTTTGGCAAGTTTTTCAAAGGTGGAGGGGGTAGTCTAGAAAAGGTGTGGAAGACGGAATGGGTGTGTCCTGATATTTCCTTCCTGTTTGATACTGAGTGTTCACATGGGCCACCTCCTTCAATCCTTGCACCTGTCCCACAGCAGTGGGGAGAGGGGAGGGAGTGATGGGACATCCATCTTAAAGACACAGAAACTGCATTTTAAAGAGAAGAAGTGAAGCGTTTGAGCCCACACACAATTACTGTATGTACCTGGATGGTCACCTTCAGGAAGAGCTGGATTGAAGGACTCTAATGATGCTCTATGAATAGTTTTGGATGCTGCTGTGGTGCCAACCTGGTGAGGGAAGTTAGGGAAAAAAGAGTTTACTTTGGTGCACTCTGAGGGTACTGTCCGTCACGGGGAAGTCACGGAGACAGGATGATGTGGTCGCGGGCCACATTGATCTCATCATATGCACAAGTCAGGAAGCAGAAAGAGATGAATGCTGGTACCCAGCTGGCTTTCTCCTTCTTATTCACCATTAGGTGATGTTGCCCACATTTAAGGTGGAATCTTCCTACTTCAGGCTAATCTACAAACTTCCTAATGGATACACCCATAGATTTATTTCCTAGAGCAGTGGTTCTCAACTTTCCTAATGCTACAACCCTTGAATACAGCTCCTCATGTTGTGGTGACCCCCAACCATGAAATTATCTTTGTTGCTACTTCATAACTATAGTTTTGCTACCGTCATGGATCATAATGTGAATATCTGTTTTTTTCCCCCCGATGGTCTTAGTGACCCCTGGAAAAGGGTCGTTCAGCCCCCATCAGGGTTGCAACCCACAGGTTGAGAATTACTGTCCTAGATGAATCTAGATTCCACCAAGTTGACAAGATGAGCCGTCATAAGTCTCCACAAAAGTGAGCCCTTCGTCACTTATCTCTAAGAACTGCCTCCCTTCCTGCTAAAGTAGTGATGGGGGCAGGCCCTCCTCCAGCAGGCAGACCTCCCCAGAGACTCACGCGCACAGCAAGGCCAGCAGAAATGGGCTCCCCCTTCCCGTCACCCACCCTAAAGACCCAGACCCAGCTGCTCGGTTAGTCTAACTAATGTTTCAGGAGCATGCGCTTGCAGAGACTTTTGCAGAAGGCCGTCCGCAGTAGCCCTGTAAGGTGTCTACTGCCACAACACCCCTGGAGACTTAAGATCCAGGGACGTTCAGTGTTTCCCTAAGGTCACACAGCACATGATAATAGAACCAGGACCCCATGCTCCAAGGCACCCCCAAATCCTGTGTCCCTCTACAAATACATCCCAAAGGCCAGAAGGGTTCAGAAATGAGGTTCAGCTACTCAGGTCATTCTTGTTAGAGCGGAGGTAAGGACCCTTTTAGGAATCTGAAGCTAGGGTAGAAAGAAGCTGAACAGGCAGATACAGGAACACAGCAGCCCTCAACAATGGCAGGTGGCCCTGAGAGAGGTTCCTTTAAGTGTCCTGTGTCTTTCTCTATGCTTTGTGGGATGGGACTGAGCAGGCTGCAGAGCAGCATCCAGGCAGAGCAAACAGAATAAGACCTGGAAGGAGACCCAGCGCCATCCTGTGCAGATGTGCCATGGTCCAGTCCTGCCTCAGTGCAGATGTGCAGGCACAGTCCTGCCTCAATGGCCAGCAAGTGAACCAGAGGCAGAGTGAATGGGAGTGCCACAGAGCGTGTGGCAGTGCCAGACAGCAGGGTGTGGACCAGGGAGTGCGAGCAACAGGCACACGTGGGGATAGCTGGGGCAACGTTCTGTCCAGGGCAGACCCAGGTTTCCATGACATTCTCAGAGTTCTCTACCTTGAACACTGAGGTAGAAGTAAGGATGAAGACAAGGAGTCACCCTGTGCTAGACCACAAGGAATGCAGGGAACTCCCCACAAGGACATTGTCGCCCCAAAGTTGTGCCCCCAGGCATTGCTGCGACTTTAGGTTGACATTTTTATCTGCTGGCAACTTTGCCCTGTGGAGGTGGGCTGGCTGCTCCCAGGCTCTGAGAGGCACTGGTGGAACTCTGGCAGTCCCTGGACCACTGCAGTAGCCTGGCTTGTCCCCTGCCTTTCCTCTCCTTCCCCTACAGCTGCACACTTGGAGTAGAAGGCATTTTCCAAATTACAGGTTGGGTCACAGTGTTCAGCTGGATATCAAGGGATTGCTCTGACTGTTGAAGAAACTGTAGCTTTTGGCCTCTGGTGGCCCAGCCTCTCCTGTACCTACCTCCCTCAGCAGGGGCTCCACCTGACACTTCTGTTAGTCTAGATGGCCCCCTCTTTGGACCCCTTTGCTCCTGCTGATACCCACTCCCCAACCACCCATCCTGGCTCAAAACAACCACCCTGACTGCTGCTCCAGCCAGAGTCAGAAGATAGACCTTCCCCCTCCAGTGAAATGGGGGTAGGAGAGTGTGTCCCCTCCCTTCCTGGCAGAGGCCATGCATTGCCTGTGGGTTCCCATTAGAGCCCAAGACTAAGCCTGTTCAGATGCTGAGAGTCACCCTCTGGGGTATGGGGGTGCCTTGAGGGCTCCCCGATCTCTGACTGAGTCAACCAGAAGAGGCCAAGGGCTTGCCTAATGTAACTATCCAGATCGCATGCACACAGTTTTGAAGGTAGAGAGCCTACTAGGAAGCTCGCCTAAAGCCTCTTGTTGTCTCTCCTCCCATGGGGCCTCATCCTCAGAGATCTACTGACTCAGCAAGGAAAGGGGACTGGAGAGGGAGGCTTGCACTTGGAGCTGTACTTTGTAGAGACTGTAACTGGGCTCTGAGGTTCCCCTCACCCAGCTAGGACCCCTCTGTCACCACCATTTGCACCGCCTCTGCATCTGCCTCCCCCCCGACCCCCGCCCAGATGAACAGGACCTAATTTCCTTTTCCTAAGCTTGGGGGAGTCTCCTGGTCCCCTCCACCCACTTCCATCAAGACTGAGCTGGGAGCAGGTAGGAGGCTACTGGCCTCGGAGGAGTCACCAAGCCAAGTGGCTTTTGCAGAATCACGCTACACATGGATAGTAAGGAGTGACTCAGGCACCTGGCACACAGTGGCCCAGGACAGGAGGCAGTTAGTGGGGACAGAGAAGTGAGGGTGGTCAGGAAGAAGAACGGAGGAGGACAAGAAGGGCTGGCTGAGGTAGCCGGAGCTCCCCGCACCATGGGCTTGGAGATGCGGCTACAGCTGCACTGTTAAGGGTGGAGAGGTTGACTTCCAGACCTGCCTCTTCCTCCGCACATCGACCATGCCTCAAGAGGCTTTGTGTTGCCGTCCATCATGATCTGAGTGCCACATCCCTCCAGAGTTCCTGTGGAAATCTACTCAGCAGCTCAGTAGATTAAGAGATGGAGTCCTGGGAGCCCTCCCTAATAAACAGGTTCAAAGGACAGAGTCTGGGGAGGTGGTTGTTGACAAAATACTCAGTATGCAAGCATGAGGCCCTGAGTTTGATTCCCGGCACCTTTATAAAAATGTCAGGGGTGCTACCATGCCAGCAACCCCAACGCTGGAGAGGCAGGTACAGGAGGATCTCTGCAGCTGGTTCACTGGCTGTCCAGAAGCTAAATGAGCTCCCCATTCAGAGAGAGACTATCCCCCCCAAAAAAAAAATAAGAAAGAGAAGGGCTGGGGTGATGATGCTCTGTGCTTAAGAGCACTGGTTGCTCTTCCAGAGGACCTGGGCCGGATTCGAACACACACACTGTGCCACCCAGTCACCTGTAACCCCAGTTGCAGGGGATCTGATGCCTTCTTCTGACCTCTGAAGGCACCAGCCATGCAAGTAGTGCACAGATATACATGCGGGCAAAACACCCAAACACATAACATAAAAATAATAAGGTAGAAAGCAATAAGAAGACACAGAGATTCAACATCTGGACTCCCCCATCACACATGCACACACATACAGATGTGCCTAAACACATACAGGCACACAGGAGCCCATACACATAACACAACATAGCAGAACATGGTTGGCACGATGGTTCAGTGGGTAAAGGCACTTGCTCTCATGCCTGACAACCTGAGTCTAATCCCCAGGACCCACATGGTGAAAGGAGAGAACTGAGTCCCCATAGTTGCCCTCTGACCTCCACATGTGCACCATGTCACGTGCAAGTACATTTGCACACACCTGAATAGATAAATGTAAAATCAAACTTAAGAGATGTCCAGGAGCCTGTCTGTCCCTTCTCCACATGGAAGGGGCCTCGTGCATGGAGCAGAGACCTCAGCCAACTCCCAGTCGACCAGAATCCTGACCTTGGATTTTCAGCCTTGAGGACAGTGAGCAGCCCATCTCTGCCATGCCCAAGCTGCCAAGTGTAGAGTGTTTGCTGAAGCAGCTGAGATGGACCAAGACGTCACCTCGCAACCCATGCTGCAGGCACCCAAGGGCGAGTCTATTTTTTACATGAGTAAGGGAAGATTCCAGGAAGTTGGGTAACTTTCCCAAACCACACAGCTAATACAACTGAAAATAGCAAGGCTTTTTTTCTATCATTCAACCACTGAATAGAAAAACACGGCAGAGGAGAACCCGGATGGAGACGGTGCTTTGCAAGGCTGCCCTGGGAGCACACAGCCACAGCGAGGTGGGTGTGGACTCTTAGGGCTGAGGGGAGGCTAGGGGACACTTTGAAAGGCAAAAGTGAAGAGAATCACATAAATCTTCTGAAACAGTAACCATCGGCCACTGTGATTGCAGACGAAAGCAATGTCAGGCAGAGGGTGAAGACAGCTATAGACAGATGTCCTTTGAAAAGTCAGAGGACAACTTCAAGCTGTTGGTTCTCTTTCCACCATGTTGTGGTTTCTGGGAATTGAACTCAGGTCATCCAGCTGGAGCAGCCGGTCCTTCTACCCACTGAGCCACCTCACCAGCTGGTAGAGATGACCGCCACAGCCCTTCACAAGAAAGCCCTTCTCTGGGCAGGACTATGGC